TTAATCAAAGGAAGTCTCATGGTCAGGCCCAAAGTCAAAAGGCATGGAAGCGTGCTCTGCATGTGATGGGGACATGACAAGGATGTAAGGCAGGATGACACAAAGAATTTGGGTCAATAATTCAATAAACTATAGTCCACCCTCTTGACCATATTATTCACATCGCTCCAACATTCCCATCCAAGGACGTTCAAAAGTCTCACCCAAATATGACATCAGGTTCAAAATCTAGGACCCTGTGACCTACCTCAGGTCCAGAGGTAGTGTCTATGAACTAAAATGACAAATTACTCATCTACTTTCTACACACTCACACACAATATGCAGTGTATAACAGGGACAGGTTAATCACAATAAGCACTCTCATTCACAAAGAGGAAGATCGGTCATTAGTGATTCTGAAATCTCTCTATGCAAATTAGCCAAGTCCTCATTTCCTGGGGGTAGAACTTGATTCTGTTGAGGGGAGGGGATAGAGAGGAAGCACTCCTAGTCTACTGATTTCTACAACTCCTAGCTCTGCTCTCCGAGACATTTTGTTCCATCATCTTCCTCATTTGCTTCTGGAGAGGACATTTGCAACTTAAACCTTTTTGGGGGGTGACTGAGAAATTTCCTAGTCTACTTCCTACCTGTGGGAAATTGGGGGCTCATAGGTCTTTTTTACCTTCCAAACAATTTCAGTCCCTTTTAGTCTAGGCTGGCAGAACTTTGACAAATAGATCTCTCAACAATTTAGTGGAGTTTCTGTGTTATGTGATTCCTGTTCATTCCATGTATCAAAAATCACAATTCTTTTCAAGACATGTGTGTCTCTCTGGATTTAATTACTAGCACTTTGGGCATATCAGATGACTGTGATACCATGCCCTTAAGCTCTCTAGGAGGTTTTGCCCAGCTGAAAGGTCTACTAAATCCTACCCTGTAATATTTACCAATGTTATAACCACACCCCTGGGTCTTTACACTGAAGTCATATTTTACTGTCAGCCACCTGGTTTTGATCTTTTTCCATCCCACTATAACTTAACCATTCCTTTGACTTGATCTTTGTCCTTACACTATTATCTTCATTTGAGAATCTTTTTCTGGCTGGAGAAGCTAAAGATAAGAAACAGTTTTCTTCTCTAGCCCAGGAATTCTGAGCTCTATTCTCTCTTAATTTTGCTTATAAACTAGTTTTTTTCCCCTCTTGAGTATATCTTTTCTTAAAAGCAATCAGCCCATGCTTTCTACATTTTTCTTCAAAACTCTCTTCTCTTCTCCCAATCTGCCCTTTCATTTGATTATGCTGCTTACTGCTTTGTGCTTATCCCACGCAATGAGCTTATGGATGGAAAACTTCCAAGATTTAGATTTGAGGACATATGAAACCGCACTTGGGGCTTGTGGCATAATTTATCTGTCCAACCTCATCTAGAACTCTATTAAGAGACACCAAGAGCTGGTTTAGTACTTGGAATTTTTTAATTGTACTATGTCTAGACCTCCCCTAGGGAGTCTGTAGACGGAAGGAAAGATTAATAAACTAGGATTTGATTATTTTTAGGATCTTCAAAATCTTACCTTTGTCTTTTGGAAGGGCCACTGGTGCAAATTCCACTGGTCTGGAGTATCTGGAGAACTGTACCATGTGTTACTCCGATAAATTGTGGGCTCATGGATCACCAGTTCTTTAGTATAGGCATTAGATGTTGGAATGGTGTGGCTCCATCAAAAGCATGACACAGATGACCTCAGGCTCATGAATAAAAGGTCCCTCCAGAAAAAGTGAACCATCAATTATTTTCATCATGTGCACTTAGACTCTAAGCTTATTTAAAAAGTTTACCATAGTGCGTAGGTCCATTAGTGGATAGATTAACTGTCTTTGCCCTATCATTTTTCACTGCAGAACCTTTAGGTTCAAGGCTACAGACATGTATAGAGTTTGCCAAGTACTAAGGGTGTACTTCCTTCTTTAACCCGTTGGCGGCAATAAAGGATTTACTTACTAAAAGTGCACGGCTTGGCTCCAATTAGGAGGAGCTCTGGTGGTGTAGTGCCTCAGGCAGTTGACTGCTAACCAGAAGGCTGGCACTTCAAACCCACCACTCACCCCTTGGAAGGAAGGTTGGGCAATCTCCTCCCACAGAGATACTGCCTCAGAAACCCAAGGAGGGGTCACTATGGGTCGGATCCGACTTGACAGCAGTGTTTGGTTGGTTGGTTGGTTTGGCTCCAATAACAATAGAGCTAAGCCTCTGACCACTAGGAATCCCTATATAAATTCCGATTCCAACATGTGGCAAATGGGCCAGGACTTTCTGGAATATCAGGTAACAGTGCTGGCTTTGGTGCTCAATCCTCCAGGGTCTACAGATGTTTAAGTGGGGACTCAGGTCACTCAACTAGTAGGTGGTGAGGCAAGCATTCTGGCTTCACAACCCCACTGTGATATGCTGGTCTGTTAAATGGCCTCCTCAGTAAGGAGAGTTTTCCAGCTAGGCATGTTCTCAATCCTGAGCGAAGAGATGTTAGTTAATAACTCCTTCATTCCTTTTACCAAGGCACATCCTTTATCTCACAGTCTACATTCGCACATGGATAAAGGACCTCATAGCTTTTACTTGGAAGTAGTTTGCATTTCCGTTGAACACAGAGCTAACCTAAATGTTTGTTCACAGGATAATTTTGAGCTGCTAAAGTATACAAAGGAGCTCTGGTAGCATAGTGCCTAAGGCACTTCTGCTAACCAGAAGGCTGGTGGTTCAAACCCACCAGCCACTCCTCGGAAGGAAGGTTGGGCAATCCTACTTCCGTAGTGATACTGCCTCCGAAACCCAAGGAGGGGTCGCTATGAGTCGGGGCCGACTCAACGGCACATAACAACAACAACAACAACAGCCACTCCTCGGAAGGAAGGTTGGGCAAGCTACTTCCGTAGTAATACCGCCTCGGAAACCGAAGGAGGGGTCACTGTGAGTTGGGTCCGACTTGATGGCACAAAACAAAAACAACAACAAAGTATACAAAGCCTTTCAGTGAAAACTGTTGACTTATACAACTCAGACCAATGCAGAGATGACTTCAGAATGGAAATTTCAGTATGTAGCCTATGACTTTGCCTTTGAATCTGACTTTGATGAATACTGGCTGTTCCACCAAGAAGAATTAGCTTCAAATTATCTAACTGATTTACTAGATGGGGACAGGAAGAGGTTGAATTGTAGATAAAGTCTTTCAAATACAGTTATAGTCATTTTTTATACTTGATTCTAAGCAGTAACAAGAAATGGGATAAATTACTTCCTGAGACATCTTGTGAATATAAAATCATATTGGAAAGAAAGAAGAAGGACGTGGTGTTCTGAAATGCTATAACTGGAGGCCATACATCCTCTTCAGGAAAATAATGTGCTAAGTAAATTCAACAATAAGAAAAATGCTTTATACCCCTTGGAATTTAAACATGATGTGTTGACACTCTTAGTCGCTCTGGCTCTCAGAGTATACTGAAATTCAGGCTTTGTCCAAACAGGTTAGCACCTAAACTCACACACAAGCTTTCAATCTTCATGTATTTCTTCTTCAGTGAACGGCTTTGTGAACACCAGAAATCCCACAATGTCCTTGCCTCTGTCCTGTATCACTCCTACATCCCCTCTCCAGATCCTCAAAATCCACTGATGTTAATATAGCTTGACTCTATCCACTTCTCTCCACCACAGCACCATCATAATTTATAACCTTTTAGTTGAACCCCTGAAATAGTCTCCTAACTGCTCTCCCTGCCTCTAGTGCTACTTCCTTTCTGTTCTCTACATTGCTAATGGTATGATCTTTCTGAAATGTAAAAGAGATTCCACTGTTGAAAACTCTTTAGTAGCCCTTAAAGTTTTCAGAGTACATCATAAGCCCCTTAGCCTGTGTGCATGCCCTCCCGATCTGCTGTGGCTTATATTCTCATCATTACTCATTACTCTAGCTAATTCATCTAAATAGCAGGTCCCAGATCTTCTTGTTTTTTTTTTTTCCCCCTACTCTTCAAGCTTTGGTTTCTATCGTGCGCTTGCAATGTCCTTTTTCCTCACTCCCTGCCAAGAGATATTGGGGTGAGGGAAAGGAAAGGAAGAAGGGGAAGGAGGAAAGGGACTGGTAGGAAAAAGAGAGAGAGGAAGAGGGAGAAAGGGAGGGAGGGAGGGAGATACAGAGCTGGAAGTAGAGGTAGGTGTGCATGCCCACATTTTTGGTGTGCATTGAGCAAGATCTGGAAGAACACCTACTAAAATTGTTCATGGCAGCCCCTAAGGAATGGGATCTCAGGGGAGAGGTTAAGGGAGTGATATTGCATGACATACTTTTCACTTTGCTATCTTGCTTGGATTTTTTATAATAAATAAGTATATCTCATATATTTTTAAATCACATTTTCCCATGTTTGTCCTCAGAGATACTGATTCAGTGGGAAAGGGTCCAGGATTCTGTCCTTCCAAAATCTCTCAGAGTCAATTTGGGAAACTGTGTTGAAATGACTGTTTTTGTTGTAATGAGGCAATTTATGTTTTTTTTTTTTTTAAACTCTAACTCTACCATACAACCGTGTTTCTATTTTTTTTTATTTTGTATTTGTTTAATTCCACTGCAAATTACACATTCTTTCTAAGTATATTAGATCTGAATTATCTCTAAGAAATAATAGCTGTGGTGGCCATTTTAACAGTAATATTGGAATAAAAGTCCTAAGTAACCACTGTAAAGTGTGTGCTTGAATACTAAGTTTCATAAAGCATTTTAAAATAAAGGCAAACATGGGAGATAATTTATAAATACAAATATCAGGGTTTTTAAATTCTAAAATTTTAACACTAACTTAAATGCTTCAAACAAGTAGCGTTATTACAAATATTAACCTTGATATAGTGTATACTGTTTTGCTAAACATGTTCAAGTTTTTGAGTTCAGGAAAATATAAAAATGCAAATGTTTTTATAATTAACTTTGAAAATCTGTATAATGCCTTAATATTCAGACATCAAAGCATCTATTTCTTTAAACTTGCTAGTTATACTCTCAATACATTCTCCAGCATTTAATTTTATTCCATCAATTACAAGATAGTCCTCTTCATAGTAGTTCTCAAATGGGCTGCCAGCAGGAGCTTCAGGGCTGCATTTAGACAACTGTAAAAATAACCATACAATTCATTAGAACTACATCAAATTTACTTAAAAACCAGGTTTAATTGTGTGAACAAAACACAGGCAGTATCTCCTCAAGTCATAACAGTTATATAAAGTTTTTTGCTCTGCTGGTAGTCAAAAATGATTCGCATATGTAATAAAGTACATAGAAAATGTGTTTGTGTAAGAATACTTATTATTTAGACTCTATCTCTATTCCTTAAACTTATGTTTTATTTGTAATGATATGTTTTGAAAAACATAATCATTTTAATCCCACGTCAGTACTCTATATTGGTTTACATTTTAAATTATTATTATAGGGACTACAACTTAAAATTGGTTAAGCACATTTTCTATAGTCACCTTCTCCTAAGCGTCCGTATTACCTATGAATAGTGATAGTTTGCTCTAACTTAATGGAGGAAGGACGCTGGTACAAAACAATAGACACATATACAAGATTTATAATTTTAAGGCTCATCAAAGGCAGGATTAACTTTCTAGGCAACCCAAGGAGAAAAGATAATACGTGTGGTTTATGTAAGTATCTTTATATCTCAAAGATGCATCTTTTCATATAAATATTATTCAGTAAATGCTGTCCTATTTGTATATGGATTATTCAAACTGTGAACTATGCAGGTGGATTTATAAAAATCTGAAATTAACTTCTTCCATTGCTTGCAAAGTGAGGGCATGTCAGCCATTGTTAATATTAGCTAAAGAAGAACATAATTAGGAAGGTGACTCTACTGAGGAAAATAATCTCATAAAACATTCCAGTGACAAACAGAAATGAGTTCTGATTATTCACGTGTGTATGGCTTTTTCCATGTTGCTGCTCTCATCCATTGGTTACGTGCTTGAGCGTACGCATACTGAAACCTCACAGGTGAAATTAATGATGAAAACATCAATTTTACAACTTTGAAAATAGCTCGAACAATAAGTGCTCAGAGAAAAAGCATGCTCAGGACTTTAAAATCACCAGGTGGCTCTTTTTGGCTTGAAGGAGGCCACTTTCTCCTTAAAAAAGACATCCCAGTTTTAAGTGGTTTTATCTTTGGAAGCCATATCAATTCTTTTAAATTACTAAAAAAAAAAAAAAAAAAAAAAAAAAAGAAATCCATCATGTGATCATTTCTTTACTTTCAAACTGGAAATAGCTCCAACACTGATATTTGTTTCATTGCTATTCTCCTCCATTTTAAAGTGAACAAGACCCTAAATATTCTGACACTGGCATGAAGAGAAGGCTTCTAAACCTCAGTGTGGAATATGAACCAGCAGCAGGAGGCACTCACCTGTCTGCCAGCAAATTAAAATGGTTAAGTTTTACAATTCTTAAATGCCTTTTGAAAGCATACAATAATGCAAGAATCTAAAACCAAATGCGAGCTCCTGCTATTAAAACTATGTATTTTACCTTAAGAAGTAAAAAATCAGAAGTTAGTAATTTTCTGTTCTATCAAGTTACTAATTATAATGGCAAAACAGAAGCCAATTCTATGGTTGTAAAAACTCCAGGACACTGCTATAAAAATCACCCTGGCTGTATTTTTTAAAAGACAAACTGCAAAGACTGAAAAACCATTTCACAAAACCATATGGTGTTCAAACAAAACACACATTTGCTAGAAAGAATAGTTGCTGTATTAATTATATGTATATAAGATATATGTCACCAATGTATAGATTTTGAGCTACAAAAGGTAAGAACTACATACAGAAAACAAGTTTAATTGACAGAATGGCATTGAAAATCCACGCCAACTCAGGAAAAAGATGATGTTACTGATGTTGATTATGAAAGATACCATGTCTTTCAACTCAATAGGTGTTTTTAACATTAATTTTATTTTTACACATGTAACTCAACAGTAAATTCCGTATATTTTCATAATTTCTAACTCAATGAAGCAGGTGTATAAGATTCGGCTTTCTTCTTATTGAAGTTCTAAATGAAATCATATAATTGGGCAGCTGTCAAAGTGAGTAAACCACCTTGTTCATTTACAAATTCATTTTTTCTGCATCGGAGAACAGAGATACTTGAAGGTGGGTAGTTGCCTAAGTGAGAATGTGGAAGAAGAGAGATGAAGTAAAAGAGTCTTAGTCCTTATTCTCCTGTCTATTGCCACTGCCAATTCTCATCTATAATCATAGCTAAGCTTAGGCATCCATTACTTTGCAAAGAACTTTTCCTATTTTGCCTTATTTAACCTCAAAACAACCCTCTAAAGCAGGTGATAAGCAACTTCATCAAATTAGACAGGTCCTAAATGGCAGGAACAGGATTGAGACCCAGGCATTATGATCCAGAGCCAGTATTCCTAATCATTATGCTCTCTTGCCTTTAGACATATCATATCTAAATGAATGAACGTTAGAATGAGTGAATGAGTGAGTCAATAAAAGGAAGGAAAGAAGGAAGAGAAGGAGGGAAAGCGTTGGGACAGAGGAAAGAAGTATAACAAAACACAATTTCTGCTGTGTCCCTTTCTTCTTAATTATTTAGGGAGCAGCTGTACCACCTCATAAGGAGCTCTGGTGGCACAGTGCCTAAGGCATTTGACTGCTAACCAGAGTGTTGGTGGTTCAAATCCACCAGCTGCTCTGCAGAGGGAAGATGGGACAATCTACTTCCATAAAGATTTACTACCTTGGAAACTCAATGAGGGTCACTATGAGTTGGAATCGACTTGATGGCAGTGAGTTTGGTTTGGTACCACCTTATGGCAGTGTCTGCCCTCTGACTTAATTTTCACACACATACCTCATTGATGCTGTACATTAATGACCATCTCCCTGAGCCGTGTATCACAAACCCTCATTTTATATGCAGAGATATAGAGCTGATGTGCTGAGCAGTTTGTCAACCAACTTAAAATTTATGTTGCCATATAATAGCACTGAATAAAGTAAACACACATGGCCTTTCTGAGCCCAACATAGTTGGTTGAAAACAAACAAACAAATCTAGATATGAATGATGAAATTTATACCAACTAAAAATTCTACCTTCAGTATGCTACTAATGAGCTTTGTTGCTATAGGCTATAGGGGTTATCCTGGTGCAAGAACAATGCCCCATGCTATGGGTAATGATCTGTGAGTTGCCACCCATTCAATTCTGACTCATGGCAAGCGGAATTGCTCCATAGGGTTATCAAGGCTGTAACCTTTCAGAAGCAGATGCCAGGTGTGTTAAACTGCCAACTTTTCTCTTAATAAGGGAGCACTTAGCCATTTGTACCACCCAACCAAGGACTCCTATAGGCAGTGCCAAACACTCAACAGGGCAGATTTTCTAGTGAGCTGGCTTTATCTTGACTACCGTTCCTGACTGTAAAGACATGCAGCAGGGCAGAGGTCTCTTTACTGGTACTCTCTCATTTCAGTGTACCCCCTCCACCTTTATTCATCTTAATCCCAAAGATCTGAAGTAAAAAGAGCTCCTCTGTTCAAATAGAGATTTTTTTTCCCCCCTAAATGACTGATAGATCCATTGTGATTTCTCAACAGGCTACTAGTTTATTATTCAAAAGGACCTCTGGTGCCAGTCAAATGCCTAAGGCACTCCTTAGGAGGGAAGTTTGGGCAATCTACTTCCGTAGTGATACTGCTTCAGAAATTCAAGGAGTCACTATGTGTTGGATCCAAAGCCTCAAATGTCCAAAGCGAAATATGTTTTCTGTGTAACTGAAAATTACAACTAGGAACGACTCTCCTATTTAAAGTGTTTTAAATGGCTGATTTGTGGTGTTGGTGAAGAATACTGAAAGTACCATGGACTGACAGAAGAACTAACAAATCTGTCCTAGAAGAAGTAGAGCTGGATTGCTCCTTGGAAGTGAGAATGGCCAGACTTTGTCTCACCTAGTTTGGTCAAGTTGTCAGAAAGGACTATTTCCTGGAGAAGGATAGCACACTTGGTAAAGCAGAGGGTCAGCAAAAAAGAGAAGGTCCTCCACAAGACAGACTGATACAGTGGTTGCAATGATGGGTTCACGTATAGCAAGGATTGTCAGGCTGGCACAAGACCTGGCAGTGTTTCGTTCTGTTGTACATATGGTCACAATGAATCAGAGCTGACTCTATGGCACCTAACAACAACAACAACAACAACACATTTAGGCCTGATCAAATGTATCAATAATACCTGTCCTCCTGGATTTGTTTCCTCTCCACACTCTTCTTCAGATTCATCAGGTACTGCCTTGGGCTCTAGGGCTTTCTGTAGCATTTGCTCCAACTCTTTTAGTAAAACTTCTGTCTCAGAGACAACTAAAGAGACATCATTAATATAGTAAAAAATGCAAAACCTTAATTAATTCTATCTCATTAATAATTTTAATCACCAAGAAAGACAAACTCTTCTAAACATTACAAGATAAAAAATAAAAATTTCATATGACTTTTACATATAGTCAGTTTGGTGAAAAATTATTATGAATTTCCAGGTGAATCTCTTACAGTTATTCCTTAAAGAATGTAAGTGACACACTTCCTTGTGTGTACACCATAAAGTACCTCTGAAACACCAAAAACTTAACATATTTATTTAAAGATTAGGAGCAAGGGCACTATTATGGATTGAATTGAGTCCTTCAAAAGATAAGTTGAAGTCCCAAACCTAGGTTCCTGGTTGGAAATAGGGTCTTTCAAGATGTTATCAGTTAATATAACTGTAGCAGGGTAGGCCTTAATGCAATCTGAGTGATGCCCTTATTAAAACCAGCACCACCACCACCAAAAACAAAACAAAACAAAACAAAACACCCAATACAGAGACACTACAGGCTCTGTGAGAGCATATTATGATGACAGAGTTATCTTGTATCTAGAAGCCAAGGAATTACTGGGCTACAAGAAGCTAGGAGACAAGAAAGGATCTTTCCTCAGAGCCTTTGGAGAGAACATGACCCTGCCAACACCCTAAATTCAGATTGCTAGCTTCTAGAACCATTACACGATAAATTTCAGTTCTTATAAGCTAATTTGTGGTGTTTTGCTATGGGCGGCCCTAGGAAACAAATACAGGCACCAAACTATTATTTAAAGACTAGTGGTTGGCAAACCTTTTCTATAAAGGGACAAAAAGTAAATATTTCAGGCTTTGTGCACCACTTGATCTCTGTCACAACTACTGAGTTTTGCTGTTATAGCACAAACCATAAATATGGACATAAACAGAAGAGCATGCTATGTTCCAATAAAACTTTATTCACAAAAAGGGTGGTAGCTGGTGGCCAATGGGCCACAATTTCTCAATTTCTATTACAGACCGTGAAAGCTCTGGTGGCATAGTGCCTAAGGCATTGGACTGCTAACCAGAAGGCTGGCGGTTCAAACCCACCATCCACTCCTCAGACGGAAGGTTGGGCAATCTACTTTCATAGTGATATCACCTTGGAAACCCAAGGAAGGGTCGCTATGAGTCAGATGTGACTCCATGGCAGTGAGGTTTTTTTTTTTGGGGGTTTTGGGTTTTGGTATTATAGACTGTGGAGCTCTGGTGGCTCAATGGTTAAGACATTTGGCTACTAACCAAAAGGCTGGTAGTTTGAACCCACTACCTGCTCTGCAGGAAAGAGATGAGGCAGTCTGCTTCTGTAAAGATTTACAGTCCTGGAAACCCTATGGGACAGTTCTATCCTGTCCTATAGGGTTGCTAAGAGTTGGAATTGACTCAGTGGCAGTGATTTCAGTTTATTTTTTTTGGTTATTATAGACTGTTACAACTACTGGTTAAAAGAGAAAGCCAGGTGGTTTATTAGCTAGGCTGAACATAGTCATGTTCATTCGTAACACAAACATGAATATATTTCCATAATTGGAAATGTGGTATTTTTTTTTTTTAAATATCAGGCTTATAGAAGTTTTTGTGTGTATGTGAGTGTTAGTGTGACATACATACATAAACAGGCAAAACATGTAGTAGTTCTTGAATTTGCTCAGATCAAACAATATATTCCACAAAAAAACAAACAAAAACCTATTTTGATTCTATAGATGTAACTATTGATTAACAACATGATTTAAAAAGAACAACAACAAAATATTCAGTTGATAGAGGATCTTGTTGAAGTAAAGAGCAAGGAAAAGAGGCTACATGTGGTCTGCTGCCCTATACCTGAAAGACAGATGGAGCATCTGAGAAACCTTTCCAAAGACAACATGATTTGGTGGGAGAGGCCATGAGTATGCACCCCTTAGTCTTCATTCCGTTTGCAAAAATCCGACATGTCATCTCTTATGATCTGCTGCTCATTGGCAGGTCACCAAGAGTCACACTAAGTCGAGCAGCTGAGAGTTCATGGGACATGAAAATAAATTCAAGTATCATATCAATGAATACGGCAGCAATATGTTTCCAGAAATGATGTAAATTTTTAATGTAACTGTTGACTATATTTAAAACTTTCTGATTAATGACTCTTAGGAAGAATACATATGATATATACACATCTATTTGTGTGTGTGTGTGTATTCACACACACATGCACACCACTGTAAATTAACCACGCTTTAAGGAAAAAACAGAAATTAATGGGAAAGAGTCTATATACCGTTTCCTTTCTTGCAGTCCAAGTACCCATATTTTATTATTATCTTCTTGTTGATAATTTTCTCTCATGTATTGCTCACAAGAACATTTTAAAATTCTTCCTATAATACCAGAAAAAAAAAACCCCAACAAACTCACTGCCATCTAGTCAGATCTGACTCATAGCGACCCCTCCTTGGGTTTCCAAGGTAGTATCACTATGGAAGTAAATTGCCCAATCTTCCTTCTGAAGAGTGCCCTATGATACTATGTACTAAATAAAAATCAGAATTCTAGAACACTTCATGGTGTTCATGAGGAAACTGTACACAGACCAGGAGGCTGTCATTCAACCAGAACAAGGGGATACTGCCTGGTTTAAAATAAGGATGGGAATGTGTCAAGGTTCTACCCTTTCTCCATACTTAGACTAATCTGTATGTTGAGAAAATAATCTGAGAAGCTGGACTATATGAAGAAGAAAGTGGCATCAGGACTGGAAGAAGACTCATTAACAACCTGCAATACACAGATGACATAACCTTGCTTGCTGAAAGTGAAGATGACTTCAAGCACTTACTGATGAACATTAAAGACCTTACCATAAAGAAAATAAAAATCCTCACAAATGGAACAATAAGCAGCATTATGATAAATGGAGAAAAGATTGAAGTTGTCAAAGATTTCATATCACTTGGCTCCACAATCAACACCAATAGAAGCAGCGGTCAAGAAATCAGATGACATATTGTACTGGGTAAATCTGCTGCAAAAGACCTCTTTAAAGTGCTGAAGAGCAAAGATGTCTCTTTGAAGACTAAGGTGCACCTAACCCAACCCATGGTATTTCAATCACCTCATATGCATGTGAAAGCTGGACAATAAATAAGGAAGACCAAAGAAGTGTTGATGCTTTTGAGTTGTGGTGCTGGTGAAAGTACCACGGATTGCCCTAACTAACAAATCTGTCCTGGAACAAGTGCAGCTAGAATGCACCTTGGAAGTAAGAATGGCTTCGTCTTCGCTACTTTGGTCATGTTGTGAGAAGGGATCATTCCCTGGAGAAGGATATCGTGCTTGGTAAAGTGGAGGGTCAGTGAAGAAGGGGAAGGCCCTCGACAAGATGGATTGACACAGTGGCTGCAATGATGGGCTCAAGTATAGCAAGGATTGTGGCTGGCACAGGACCTGACAGTGTTACATTCTGTTATACATAGGGTCCCTATGAATTGGAGCCAACTCAACAGCACCTAACAAAAAAATAGTGTTGAACAAAGTCATGTGAGGTTATGAAATAGGAAGGGCTCTCTTTCTTGGTTGTCATTATATAGTACTGGAAAACTATTTAGTTTACACTTTTCACATTACAGTTATAACTACAAAATTAATTTTTCTGTCAATTTATTGCTTGCCCCAAACACTTTTATATATTCAATCAACACATTTATTTTGTGCCTGCTAAAGGTAAGGGATTCAAGAGAATAAGCATAGATTAATGAACCTTCCTGACTATAGTTTGTTCACGGTCAGTCTTAGGTTCTCTCCGGGAAAAAATCCTTTCAAAATAAGAAATACCAGTTTGAAAGAAGCTTTCAGATAAGTCTTTACAAACCTTAGAACCATTTGCTACGATTAAAAATGAAACAAACAAACAAAAACTGTAATTAACATGTTAGTTGTATTCAGATAGATCTGTGACTACGGTTACTGCTAAAGTGTAAGAATACAGAGTATGAACAGTTAGAGTTTAGAATCCTGATATTCAAAATTTGGTAGCTGGAGATTTTATTTTAGAAATATGGATAAAATACCATGCCTATTGAATAAGAATTTACTGTATATTTTTGTTGAAGCATTTTTGTTAATGAAATTAACCCCTTCTATAAGACAGATTTCTTATTTAGTAACGTGTTGCTTAATGGTCAACTAAAGTGGTTACACTGACTTTCCAAACCCACTCATTCTGTTTTCCTACTTTACACTCTGAATCTACAGAGATTAACATTCATGTTTAACGCTCTATTGAGAAAATGAATTTTGAGCTATGCTGGAGTACAAAAAGGATGCACAAAAATCTTTCTATTTCTAAGGTTAGGCTAAAATACAAACAATTTATGATAATGAATGTCTTTGATGAATGGCATTATAGGTTCTCTGATTAAGTGATCTGAAATACACACACACACACACACACACACACTGCCTTTTGATCAGAGGGTAGACAAAGTAATGGATGACTTCATGAATCAACCAGCATTCATAATATTAACTTAACTGATACCAAATTCTACTTCCAGAGCAATGGAAAGTTTGCTTTTCTAAGTAAGTATTCCTGTATTACAAATTGATAAGAGTTCAAAAATAATCCTCAAAAAATAGCAGTGATTATAACCTATAAATAAAGTCACCAAAATTGGACAGTGATATCCTCCAAAGAGAGAGAATGAATGCCTTTACTGCATGGCCAATCATCTATCAATACTGATTATCCTATAGTTTCACTGGCTTGTTTTAATTTATTGTTGAAAGTAAAGTGGTAGCATTATAGCTGCCCCATCACTCAGAGAAAGTGGGAAAAAAAAAGAATAATGAGAAAGAAAAAGCATAAAACTATCTCTAATACTGACATATGTATCTAACCTTTAAAAACAAACATGTATTACATAAATCAGTATTTTTTTCATTTCTGATAAGGAATAACTCACTGTTAATTCCAATATATCACTATTTCATAATT